TGGATGAGTCTTTTCTCTTCCTTGATTCTTTTCATTTCTTGTATTCTTCTCTTGATTTCCAAGATCTTCTTTTCTTGTCAGTATATTCATTTTCTTTTTTATTGGACTCTTTTCTATCTTTTGAGAATCTTACTTTTGAGAATTTCTTTCTTTTGTTATGTCTTTTTTCTTGTTTCTTGGATCTACAGTCACTCATAAGATGTCTTTTTCTTCTGCAATTATAACATTTCATGTTTTTGAGGTGTACTATTGTGAATTCATTCTTTTTGAATCTATTTTCTTTTCTTTTCTTTTTGTTATCAAAATATTCTTTTGGTTTATATATCAATTTGTTTAAATAATTTGCTTGTATCTTTTTTGATTGATTTCTGAAATATTCTCCTACTTTTCCTGATTTATAATAATCATATACTCTTGATAATGCTGTGAAGAATGCAGGAGTATCTGTGATTTCATTGTTAATTAGGTTCATTTAGCTTTTGTAGTCTTTTAGTTCATGTTGTCTATTTGGTAATATTCCTTCTAATAATATTTGTAGTCCTCCTAAGAATGATGTGTTGTTTCTACATAGTGCTAAGTCACGCATAAATTTAGTTTGGAGTTTGCTGCTTCATCTATTTCAATTAGATATTTTGGTTCAAATTTCATTTTGTTGAATTGTTTTTGCTTTTCCTTAATCATTTTTGGTGTTATAAATACTTTATCAACCTATAATCTGAATGATACGTGTCTTGATTGTCTATCTGTATTTCAGTATTCTAAATTTCCTTGTCCTATTCCTCTGTTATATGCTGCGGCGAAGTGTACGTCTATTTTTTCTGAAAAGTTAGTTTTGTCCAATAAGATTGTTGGTGATCCATCTTCTATTGATTGTCTTCTTCTTAGTGCTCCTCTATTGAATTTACTGCAGAAGTATGATGTCAATTCATTTTTGTGTATTTCATATAGTATATATCTTTCATAGTCAAAACATAATATTGCCAATTTGTTATTAGGTTTTTTATGAATATTACATTATATGCTCCTTGTGTGTCTGTATTTCTTGCTATATTTGCAGCTATGTTATTTAATGGCATTCTGATGTATCCATTGTTGTAGTTTCTAATAAAGAATCCTGTTGTTAATAAGTCCAGTGGTACATATACTTGTATTGCATATTCAAAATGGTTTCTGAACTGTACCCAATTGGAGCCATTGAGTATTATTCCATTCATTAAAGTTTTGAAGTTGATTTTGTTAAGGTCTGGAAATTCTATAGCACTTGCCATTGTGCATCAAAGTTTGGTTAATTTTTGTATACAGACAAAATTGTAAGTAATCTTTGATATGTAGGTTTTCTAGGTCGAGTCCTTTCTTTAGTACTTCTTTTTCTTTGGATAAGTGTTCAATAGTTATATAAGTTAATGAGTCTTTTATTTCTAGGAATTTATTTAATTTATCATGATATTTCTTTTGGTTTTCTTTCTTCTTTCTTAATATCTTTTCTAATTCTTCTGTATATTTCCTTTCAAGTTCTCGTAATGCATTAATTACTTTTACGAATATATTATATTCTCTAGTTGTTAATGTTGTTTAATATGAAGGTACACTATCAAATTATTTTTTGAATTGATCTTGTAATTCTCTTTTTCT